CCCCCCCCCCCCCCCCCCCCCGTTCAATATGAGGGAAAAAGCCGAGGGGCTTAGATTCAAGTAAAAGTGTGGGAGGGGAATGGTTAGTGGTTAGTACTCTGCTGAGCCACCCTCCCCTGGTTGCAGCTGTTTACTTTCCCATCCTAGGTCTGGCTTAAGTCAGGGCTCTGCTTCAGGGCATGCAGCACAGAACAAATGCTGCATCCTGCTTCTGCCCAACCATGCAGCTTGGTTGTAATGGCAGCAGCTCCAGGGAGGGCAAGCAGGAGGCTAAATGGTGGTGGTGGGGATAGTTGCTAGAGGGTGCATGCACCATGGACAGGTGCAGGCATGGAAGGGTGAGAAAGCAGGAGGGGGGCCAAGTGGCAGGGTCAAGGTGCAAGAGGTTTGTAGGCGCTGGGAGGAGGGCAGGCACTAGGAGGGCAAGAGGTTGTGGGGCAGGTACCGGGGTACAGGCAGCATGGGCAGGGTAGGCTCAGGGCAGACAGGCACCAGAAGGTTTAAGTGGCAGAGGGGACAGGTGGCAAGGGGTAGGAATCATCTGACTTGACTCCCCATACCTCCTGCCTGTCTCCCTCACACTGTCTGCTTCTTGTCCTGCTGCAGTGATGGGGTGGAAGAATTTTAAATGATCCCAAAAATAGATTCTTTACATGGAAAATTTTGTTAAAAAAGTTTTATATGCTTGGAATCCAATTATTGGGGTGGTCATTTTCAATTCTAAATTGCCTTGGATTCAGGTTGGTACAAGTTAGTACAGTAAACTAATTTACTCCACAGCAGGATAGTACTTGTAAATACAAGCAGAGGTTTTTTTTACTCCTCAGCAGTGTATGTATAGATGCTGCCTCAGCAGGCTGGGGCACAAGGGTGCTTCAATCTGGGGACTACTTGCCAGACAGCCAGCCCAACATTGAAGTACCTTCCTGCTCTAGCCAGCTCCTCCACAGCATGTTTTGCTGGGGGGAGCAGCCCCAGGCTGGTAGGCTAAGCCCTTGGGTCCCCTGCCACCTCACGCTACTCCAACCAAGTTCAATGTGCTGTGATCCCGGGCACATGTGAAGACATGGAGCCTGGGAGCAACAAACTCCAGGGCAGTAAGCACTGGAGTTTATTCTTGTACATTAATATGCATATGTAGACCCTTCTTGTATGTGGCCTTAGTGAAGTTTTTACCACTGAATTAACTAACATACTGTAGATGTTTAACTTTCAGTGAATATGGTTTTGTGCAACTTAATACTTTAGTGTGAAACTGCATCGGTATTTAAGTATAATGACTGCTTATATGTGGTTTGAAGGATGAAAGTTATTAATGCTTTAGTTCACAATGATTTCCACGGGATTGTTCATGCTAAGTAAGCATTACTCTGAGTGGCATGTGCCTTCAGGATGATGGCCTTATTTTCTAAAATATATTTATGTCTTTTATATGTATTTTCCAGGATCTAATTCTTGGCTTGTGCCAGAAACAAAAGGAGCGATTGTACAAGGTGGATATGGTCATACTAGCGTGTCTGATGAAATGACAAAATCCATTTATGTTCATGGTGGATACAAAGCACTACCTGGCAATAAATATGGATTGGTGGATGACCTTTACAGATATGAGGTTAATACTAGGACATGGTAAGTGAACTGAGAATACATGAAACTGAGATCAAAATAAAACAGAACCATTTTTGTTGAGTTAATACATGCGCAGTGGTGAATATGTAAAAATGTTGTTATGGTAATAATTATATTAATATAGTGATTATTTTACAATATTCAGTAATTATTGTTTTTAAAGAAAATGCAGAGACGGTTCTCCAATTAACCTCAGGGCATAACAGCATATTGTATATGGTCAAGTGAATATCAGAGTATTTAGAAACTTAAGGCTTCAAAATATCCCAGTGGTATGAGGTCAGCCTGTATAAGGTATATGTTAGGGAAGAGACCATGGCAAACTCCAATTCCTTAGATGCTGTCCCCAGGTGTCATTTATTTTCTCAGGGGGAGACCAAACAATTCTCCAATTCTCTTCTAACTAAATTGTAAATAAACTCTTTGGGACATGGATTGTATCTACTTGGGTACATTTTCATTATTTTACAATACTTAGCACATGGGGGTTTCCATATAAATTTAAGGCTTATGAATGCTACTGTAATACAAATACTAATGGTGTCTTAAGGAGGAAAATAGCCCCATCAGTAGTGACAGCCTTTCTCACTATTTCTGGATTGAGTGCATGGGGAAGTGATAGCAGCATATGATAACTTTTTTTCTGCCCTTTATATTTTGTTTGCCCTCTGATTTTTTCCCTGTTACCCTGTAGTGCATTCCCATAACAATGTGTTCTCTGCTTCTCCTTTTCATGAAAATGTGGATGTGTGAGATCTAAAAAATCCTGTTGCAAGGCCAGGACCCATGTGGCACGTCTTGGAGAGGCCAGGCTCTGTGCCCTGCTGTGTGGTCCCCAGCCTTGCAGCTGGAACCATGTTGTGCCAGGCTGGGCTGCACATTGGACAGGGCTGGTGGGGCTGTTCTGCTTCCCTTGCCTTCAGCGATGGCTGCTGCTGCCTCTGACCCTGCCTGTGCTCCTGCCGTGCTGCACCGCTCTGTGTGGATGGGCAGGAAGCTTCAGCAGGAGGCTCCTGTCCAGTGTATGGAGCTGTGGCTCCAGCTCCCAGCTACCTTCTACCTTCTCTGCCAACCTGGCTTAATGAGCAGCCCCTGCTGGTGGGTGGAGCAGGTGGAAGGTGGTCAGGAACTGGAGCTGGATCTTCATGCGCTGGGCAGGAGCTTTCCACTGAAGCTTCTACCCTCCTTGAGTGACGCAGTATAGTGCAGTGCAACGTGGCAGGAGCCACAGCTGGAGTCGAGGGGAGCAGAACAGCCCTGCCGGCCCCAGCCAGGATGCGCAGCTTCTGGTGGGGCTATTCCCAGTGCAGCTGCAGCCGGCTTGGTAGTGCTGTGCTCCCCTTGCCTCCAGCGGCCACTCCTCCCACTGCTGCCTTCTGCTGTGCCACTCTGGGTGGACATGGGGGAGAGGGAAGCTTCAGCTTGGCTCCTCCTGCAGGAGGTGAGGGGAGTAGAAGAATATCCAGCTGGCTGCAGCCGCACTGGGAACAGCCCCACCAGAAAGCTGCGTGCTAGCTGGGGTTGGGGGGAGCGCAGTTGCAGGCTGTCTGGGTGGCAGCCCCATGTCAGGTATTGCAGGGCCAGCTGTGGGCTGGATCCAGCCAGTTGGTGGGCTGTATTTTGCCCACCCATGCCTTGCACAAAGCTTCTGTAACTGGTATGTGCAGTACATCCCTGTGAAGACTGAAACGTGCCTTTACCAAGCACCATGAAATCAAAGAAGCCTCTTGGGTGGACGATCCATGTAGCAAGGCTGTCTTATAGGTACCATTCATTTAGGGCAGAGCTATCAACCTTCCCCATGGTAGAGTGTTGTATGCTGTGCCTCCAGGCCACACACCGTGCCACTCATACGCTTTGAGGGCAGGGCCCCGGATCCCTTGCCTCTTTGCCACATGAGCAGCACTGGTGGCACGCAGGACCCTGGGGTCCTGCCCCTTGCTGCATGGGCAACTTGCAGCCCCTGGCCCATTTGTTCCCTGTCAGGCCCTCTTACAATTCCAGCATCTCTGGTTTCTGTTTTAAGTTCCTTTCTCAGAATTCTCAAAACCAGACAAACATAATTGGTTTTGGTTTTGTTCATAGGTAGTCTCAGTTATTAATATTCTGTCTGAAAGCTTGATGATTCTGTTTGTCAGTTCCTTGTTTCTCAAGTTTAATTTATGAATGCTGCTTATGTTTTATACACACGCTGACCTTTAAATTTTTTCCACCTCAAAGCTGTTTCGAGATCAAGATCTGTGTCTCGGAACATTTTATTCCTTCAGCTTAATATTTGCCTTGGGCATTAGTGGCTTCACTTTAAGCATACAGGGTTTGCTTTTGGGTCAGCTTGTTGGAAATGTTAAGAAATGTGTAAGTTTGATTTGACTGCAGAGTCTTTATTTTAAATGCCACTAGCTTACAGCAATTGGCAACATTAACAAATGGATTTTTTTTCTTTTTCCCCCTCTATTGATCTATTTTTAAGACGGCATTACCAAAATACTATTCTATTATGCTCATCAGTTGCTTAAGGCTTTCTGCTAGGTCCCTGACAGACATTAAAGTAAAGGTGGAGTGAGATCTGATGTGGGTTGCCAACAGTTGCACTGGCTGCCATGCCACACTTGCGTGGCAGGAGATGTAGGATCTTGCATCAGATCCCATTGTACCATATTGCCCATGCAGGGCAAGCCCAACCCCAGGCTCTCCTTGCACTGGCAAGGAGCAAGCCTGGCTCTAAGCCAAGGGAGCATGCCAGTGTGCTCTTCCTGCTGGAGCCCCGTTAGGTGATGGGAGTTCCCAGCTGGGGAAGTGTGCCATGTGTTCCTGCAGCTGGGAACCACTGTCAGATGAGCAGAGCTCTCAGCCACAGGAGTTCATGAAGTTCTCTCCCAGCTGCAAGCCCTGATACATCTGACTGGGCTCTGAGCTGTGGGGAGGCATGATGTGCTTTTTGTTGGGGAACCCCAGTCAGCTGAGGGGGGCTCCCAGCCTCTGGAGCACATGAGAGACTTAAGACTGCTTAAGACAGTCAATTCATAGTTTCATAGTAGCTAGGGTCAGGAGGGACCTGAACGGATCATGAAGCCTGACCCCCTGCCATGGGCAGGAATGAATGCTGGGTTCACAAGACCCCAGACAGGTGATCATCCAACCTCCTCTTGAGTTTGCCCAAGGTAGGGGCGAATACCACTTCCCTGGGAAGTTGGTTCCAGATTTTGGCCACCCTAACTGTAAAATATTGCCTTCTGATCTCTAACCTGAACCTATTCTCCATCA